TTAATGTCACATCCTCTTAATAATTAGTGAACCTATGTTTTATTGTGTTTCTTCTATGGTGTTTTTTTTTCTTTTAATCATTTTATGTTTCGAACCTTTAGCCTATTCATAGCCATATAATTATGCCAACTCATGATTTATTATTTGTTACATGTATCACGCAACTAAGAATTGACTAGTTAGTGTTTAACGAATTAATAATGACCTAATATCTACCATTTACGATGACAATACGAGTAAGGTATAAATATAACATTATTTCGTTCTTATCTATTATTGATATATCTACTCAAAATTCTATGTCATTTACCTTTTTTGTTTCTTTTGTATGTATAATCAAACACATAATATTTTTCCTATAGTTTATCATATAGTCTTAATTTGGCATAAAGGATGATAAAAAAACCTATTCATATTTAATAGCAAATTTGTAGTTGATCTATGCATACTTTTTTTTTCTATTTGTTAGTATAAGAATATGTGGGGTGATAATTTGAACCCATAATCTTTTAATACGTATTAACTAGTTGAGCTATGTTTCGATTGACATCCAAATAAAGAGCGTTCAAATTAGAACTAACCTGAACATAGTTTGACTGATTAAGAAATACATCATCGTCGACTAAAAAGTCGGATCTTTTAATTTCTACCCTACATGTTATTGAATTAAAAAAAACCTCGATCTCAGATTTGTAAATCAATAATATAAGAGTATTTGTTGCTTATGATTTTACATAATTTTTTAATAAATGAAATAATGATGAGCAACCGAAGTTTTTGCTTATGAAAGTGAAGTTAGTTTAAGGGGGTTAAATGAAATTCTTTGCTTGCACACCCATCAAACATGATGCTTAATCAAATTTGAGAATTAATCAAGGAAGCAAAGCTGGCCAAGAAATTGAATTTTATCAAAACCAAGACCATTTCCATTCCTTCCAGAGAGATCTATTTTTTTCTTCTTCATTCATTTTTTTTAAATATTATTATTTATGTCAAACCATTTAATAATGTAAGTGGATTCACATGGAAAATGATTTGGGTATTAATAAAATCAGATGAATGAAAGTGGAGGTGGAATGTGGACCGTGTGATCTTGATCGTAGGGCGAGGGGGAGATTGAAATTTTCAAACGTGGCCAGATCCTGAACGTGGCTGGAGACAGCTGGCGGTTGATGTGGCCAATACGTGGACTTTTTCTTTTCCACAACGTGAAAATGTGCAAGCCACAACTAAGTTTTGTCTTCCTTCTTCGGCCGACAGTGAGGCCACGTGGCTTGTCCGTGATGGGTGAGGAACAAATCAATTTCTCAGGATCCTACTCGCACGTCCGTAGGTCCGCTCTCCGTACTCGCCCGCTGTGCGCGCCACGTGGCTGATGGCTCTTTGTTTTTTTGTCTTCGTAAATCACGTTGATTGAGAAAATGAAGTTTGAACTAATAAATCTCCTTTTGTGGAGAAACAAGCCTATGTTATTGCTAATGAACGTGACATCCTGATTCCTATGGAAGTTTTGAAATCAACGTATGAACAACAATAACTCAAGCATTTAATAGCTAATATCAATACAAAAAAATTAGATTGATTTTATTTGAGATATGATATAAAATAATTGAGTGGACAATGATAATTCGACATACTAATTATATTGCATATAATGAGTCTTAATTGAATGGTATATTTATAGTCCCAATAATTACAAAGTTTTTTATGTGTAATTATGTATTCAAAGTATATGAGTCTAAATTATTTATAAAATTTGTCACTTCTCTTCTCTCTGGGAGAATTGTTAAGGCAGGGTGGAGATAGTCGTCATTCATTTTATTCTCTGTTCACACAAAGTTCTTCCCGAAATTTATGGCCAGATCAAGGTTCCAAGGAATTGCTCTCCATTTATTATTATATTTTATAGTTAAATTATTTATTATTATTATTTTTAACAAATTATCAATTTAAATGTTAATTCTTCATGGGAGTCGTCGTTGTTTAAAAGGAATATTCTTAAATTTCTTATAATGTCTCGTAATTTATTAAAAAAAACAACAAATCCTAGAAGTTAAATTTCACCATTCAAATTATAAATACAAGAAGTCCCAAAATGTAAATATCGCAATACTTTACGGTAAACCAACAATGTCTTGTAAATTTTACATCCAAATATTTAGGTTTACGGTTTATATATATATATATAATTAAAGAAAATATAGGATGGGGACATGACCCTTTAGGTCACGGAGAAATTCCCTCCAATCCCACCGTGGAGTTCTTAAATGGCTCAACTCGTTTGGGGAAAGTCTCTACCGGAAAAGCTGCTTGACTTACTTCCCTGAAGAACGAAGAAAGAAAATGAAAATAATAAGATGCATCTACCCACAAATTTAAGACTCTTGCATACATTTTCTTTCTAAATAATGAAAAAATATATAATATATGAACAGAGTCCAGGCCGTGTCTCAGTCCCAGTGTGGTCGATCATCCGAAAAGACCAGCTATACATCTCGTAAATGTAAAACCAAAAGATATAACAAAAAGAAGACAAACTTAGAGAAAGCCAGAGATAAACTAGAATAATGGTAAGAAGATTGTTACAATTATTTACCGTCAAAACGACATCACTAGCTCACTAATTTTGGTTATTGTTATTGGGTCAATTGTCGTTATCAATCCAATTAAAAATGTATCACAAGAAGTCGACAATCTTGTCACAATAAAGAATCTATTATTTCATTTACAACTTTTTTAAACATATCATTTACTGTGTCATATTTCCACTACGCTAATTAATAGTAAACTCAACTCACGAATCAAAGAATAATCATTTAATTTTGAAGGATTAAATAAACATTAACCTAGAATTATAGAAATTAAAAGGGTTGATTTTGAAACTAGACTAAATAGAAGTAATAAAGTAGAAAAATCATGAATAAAAAAAGTATAAATGTTCCTGTAAAATAGTTTGTGTTTGACTTTTAATAGAAGATGTTAAATTTTGTTACTATTAAGATATATGAAAATAAAATAATGTAAATTGCCCGCACATGAAGCAAACTATGTCCACAAATTGTCAGTTAACGTGTCAGTTGGGGGAACTGGCTATTGTGGCGTGTGCAGTGTGTCCGTGACTCACTGTATTTTTTGCGACTTTAATTATTTATTTGTTTCCACACATCTTTTCTATATTATTCTGTATAATTTAGGGTTGGAAACTCGGATTCTGTTTTTTGTTTCCARATTCACTGAGTCAGATGGATCCAGCGAATACCAATTTGTTTTTTAAGATTGTTTTCGGATTCTGTGATTCAAACGGTAGAAATTCTGAAAACGATTTTTTTATGTTTTCAGTGTTTTCAGATTCAGAATTTGAAATTTTGAACCTGCAGAATTATATTAAAAACGATAAAAGCTTTGATAAATATATTAGTTCATGTTATAAACTCATTTTATGTTTGTTAAAATTAAAACATGTAAAATATAATGTATTCTAAATTATATAACCTTGTAAAATAACAATTATACAAAATTCATAAAAAAATGTTAATAAATTAATTAATATAAGTTTAGATTAAACTAAAATTTAATTTGCAACTACTCCTGGTTTACAAATATATTACTAAACACAAACAATTTTTTAAATTGAGATTCAATTACCAAATCTGTTACYAAACACATATCTGAAAACAAAGAATACAACTCTGGTTTTCATTGAATCCCTTGTTTTCAAATTTCTGTTTTCTGATTATCAACCAAACGCACCCTTACTTTCCGAGGCGACAGATTGAATCATTAATCTTTGATATTATAGTAGATGTCTTTTTCATTTAAGATATCTTCGGATTTCTAAAATAATTTACGTTTTAAACTATATATAATATGTTCTAATGAATTTTATATATATATATATATATATATATAGTTTAAGAAAAAATCATTTTTATTTGTGAACTTAGTTCAATTAATCAATTTTTAACTACTAACATAAGCATGACCCAACAATATCCCTAAAAAAAAAACTTAACAGTAAATGCATACTTTTTTTCTATTGAGGTCGTATATGTTTGAATATTGTTGGAATTAATTGAATAATTAATTCATATGTGGGTAACAAATTAAAGAGTAATTATATTTGGACTATTTAATGGGCGTGATATTAATTATGGGTCCATGACTTCTTTAGTGGTGTGGCTTGCTGAGTAGAATTGCTGAATAGAAACCAGCCCCATTAATCGTAGGGGATTATGGAAAACCCTAGGATTAACCTATAAATATATGGTTATGGTCCCCAATATACTATGCTTCTTGAGCCTCCTGTTCCCCATGAAACAGAGAGTATTGCCCAGGGTTGCATAGTTGAGGAAGACCACGAACCGTGGTCAATCTATCTAATGGTTTCAGGTAATTCTAATCTCTTTATAGATTTTGGTTTTCTTCCATGCTTAGAACTTTAGCCTTGATTGTTCTGTAATTTTAGAATAATCATGAATTAGGGTTTATTTAATTCTTCCAACATGAATTATCACTTACTTGTCAGGTAATATTGAAAAATTACATTATTAATCTAAAATTTTCAATTCCATAAATTGAACCAATAAACTTATAATTTAAGATTAGTTCTCAACTGTAGGAAGCTTTTTCCCGCGCAGAAAATCATTAAATTATGAACCACTATTTCAAGTATATCTGGGAACTTTTAATTTATTTTTAAAACAAATTGACTTATACCTTTAAGAAAAAAAAATTGATATTAGAAGAATTTTATTTTTGGAGCAGCTTCCAAACAACCTTTCAGACGTTGCGAGACTCCTTTTTCAACCCTCTTGAATAAGGAAGTTGGACATTTTTGTTCTGGCAGTTTGGAGAAAGGCAGGTATTTATTATAAGTGTGGAGGAAATAATTGTAGTTTTTTATTTAAAAGAAAAAAAAAAGAATGAGAAAAGGCAATAAATTTATAAAAATCAGGTGTGTGAAGGTGAGCTGCCCTTTGGTAGGTGAGGGTGATCCTAACAAAACCCATTAATTTTTTAATAATTAAAAATATCTGTCGAAGTGAAAAAGACGGGAGGCCATAACATAGATAACAATAATTGAGAAAGTGGAAGCCGGGGGAGTGAAGCCGTAAAATTAAAAAATAATGATAATAATAAAAAGAAAAGTTTTGACGAAAAATTAAAATTAAAAACAGAAAAAAAAACAAAAAAACAGAAGAAGTCAAAGAATGCTTTTTGAGTGATTCGAAATTCTAATCAATCTTGACTTGGAGTTCACATGTAAAATGGTATAAGGTGTGTTTGGTTACATCTTGGATTCTCTAACTTTGGCTTCCCTATATTGGAAAAAAAAAATAAATTATATTAAAAAAAAACGCATCTTTTTCTTACTTTTATAATATGCAATGCAAGCCAAAAATAAAGTTTTTTATTTTTATTGAAATAGGCTTTTTGGGTCCCAACTTTACGTGATTCCCCCTCATCATATGCAAAGTGCAAATCCATGTCAGAAAATAAAAAAATAAAAGTGTGCTTAGTAGGTTTTGTAACAATTATCCAATTTATAGATATTAATAAAAAATATTTTAAAAAAATTCAAAATCTTTCTAGTTTAAAATAAAAAAAAAACATATTTAGATAACTATTTCTCAAAAGTTTTTCTCCAATTTTTTTTTGGTAAGTTTTCACAATAAGACTATTTTCGGAAAGAGAAAAAATAACAAACAAAATGTCTCTTTCAATTCATAAACTTGTGAATAGTATTTTAAATAAATAATAATTGAACCACAATTTTTATCGGATAGGAGAATGCTTAACTAGTCAATCTATTATTTAGGTTTAAACATCTCGATAATATATTTTTTAAAATTATTGTATAAATGAGGTGGGAAGTAAAAGCTACAAATACATAAATACAACCATTAAAATTATGTTAAAGTCAATGCTATTAGGTGAAGTTATAGTGATATGAATATGGCTATTTGGAATTCAATATAGATGGAAATTTGACAGCCACTCTCAATTTCTTGAAAGAGTGTACTTTTGATTTTAGTTTTCATTTTTTATTGAGAGATATACAACAGAAATTGGGCTCATTTTAATTTTTTAAAGTGGTCCAATATTGAGTTTATGAAATATTTGGATTTGGTACATGCTCATTTACTTCAAAAAAACATCCTTTTTTTAGCGGACATCATAGCGATTCGTGAAGGTTTAAGGTTAGCCTTGCATCTAAGGTTGAAGCATGCACTCTGATTGAATTGGACTCGTTGGATGCCATTAAAATGATATGTGAATAAATTGAATGGAAAGGTGAAGCTTTAAAACTGGTTGGCTAATATCAAAATCCTCTCTCTCGTTCTCTAGAGTCTCTTTTCACCATGTCCACATGGAATCAAACGAAGGTGCTCGCCCCTTAGCAAGAGAAGCTCTCATAATGGGATAGACATATCTGTGGCTATCCAATTTCTCATTTTTCATTTGTTAGTGTTGACGCTGACATGCTAAACTCTATAGACTAATTTTCCATTAATAGAAGTCTTTATCCAAAAAGATATACCCATTGTCCATAATTACTTATAAATATTTATGATAATAGAATATGCATGGTTTTTTTCCGTAAACAATATATTATTTTGTTTGTCGATATTTTAATTCCTGCCCACCTAAAAATCAATCAACCACACGGTCAATATTCAAACAATATCGAAAGTTATCTTTGAAAATTATTTTTATTAATTGAAGATGGAAAAGTATGAACTTTTAAATATGTAACTTGTTCTAATCGATGATTTGTATTACTTTAAGTGATTTACCTAATAAGATGACATATGAACCAATATTTAAATAGTGGCTTGAGATTGAGAGGGTTGGTGACAGTGAGATCTCCTTCCCATAAATATCTGCTCATTGGCTCTCTTGGTACTTCCTCAACTTGTTTATTTCACTCTTATTTAAAACTCTAATTTTTTAAATATATATATATATATATATATAAATAAAGAGATATGAATGACTTTAAGCTTAAGTTAAAATGGAATATATAATACAATTATTGTGGGATATATTCTATTCTATGCTTTTAATAAAATTATATGATGCCTTCACTTTTAAGATATAGGCTATATTATTGTTATATTCTCGTTTTTAGATTATAACTTTGAAGAGATATCTATTTTCATGCATTGAATTTTTCAATTGTACGTAAATTAAAACATGATATTAAGTATATTTTATGAGATATGTTATAATTAATGAATTGAGCTTTATTATGATATTAATGGTATTGCTTAATTTACTAGTAAAAATAATATATGAGATGATTAACATAAATCTATAACAAACTTTAATAGAAATATTGGTTAGGTCGTTAAAAATGTGGTTATGAGTTGTACCTAAATATTATTAACTAGTTAAAGACGTATATACYAAAAGTAAGTCTAGCTCAACGATAATTGACATATATCATTAACTAAAAGATTGTGAGTTGGATCTCACGTGTTATACTAAAAAAAATTAGTTAATTTAGGTTGATAAAATCATTAGGTGTCAAATTTAATGGTAATTTTTGCTTTTAATTTTATATTCTTTTTCTTATCTTTAATAGATGTATTAAAAATTCCTTAAAAAAATAGATATAATATAATGAGAAATTGATGCCGACACTATAATGAAAAAAGATAATTTACAATCTATAATTCTATTGGTTATATTTTCCCTGTTTTTCCGGTCTTGCATGTTGATCAACATAAAACGACAAGTTGGCTGTGGTACACGTGTCATTGGAAGTTGTTTTTGTTCAAGAGGAAATAGAAAGACTTTTTAGACAATCAATCCTCTATTGTTTAGAAATAAAGGAAAATCAAATTATATATTCCTTATTAAGGCCATTTATTTTCTGACAATATTTTTTAGGAGAAAAGAAAAACTTTAATTGTGGAAAATGAAAATCGAATCATTGCGAATGGTTTTTGGGGGAAAGAATACCCTGGACACGTGGAAGACAGCCATTGGTGCCCCAAGGTGAGTCATGCCCCAGCTCGGACCGCCGAGATCACCACCACTAGCGTTGACAGATACTAAGTATGAGGGCCGAGGTGAACCTGGCCGAGGTCCGACCTACCGGGAAGCTCAGTGGGGGCCGATGTGAGCTACTGTCAGCGGCTTGATTATCGGGTGTAACCGACGGTCCCGAGATTACCGGGTGTAACCGTCGCGAGATTAGCGGGACTACCACCCATAAGTAGAGGACTTCACTCCACGATCAGGTACGATGATTTCTGACCTCAAACTAAACTGGGAATCCGACCTATACTGACTTGATCGTCAGAGTGCTCACCTTTTTGTGCAGGTCCGCCCAAGTATTCAGATCGGTCCGGAGGCCGAGTTCGAGCTACAATCTGAAATACACTGTTGTGCATATCCTTGCATAAACAAATGAGATCCATCAATTATTTACAAGAGACTCATGAAGCAAGCCCAACCCAAATGTACAGTTGATTACTATTTAAGAAATTTTCAAAAAAGAGAGCAAAGAAACAAAACTATTATCAACAATGATAGGTTATTGATAAATTAAATATAAAATAATGACTAATTAATTTGAATATTCTATTTGTTATTTATAGTCATGAAATGATCTTTATGTTTTTGATTAATTGAATTATTTATAGTAAATAATCATGACTTTAAATTAGTAAATTACTCCCTAATTGATATTATATTAATAGTTTACCATACAAATCAAAACATCCTCAATAAATATATATATTAAGATTTGAAATTAACAACATTTAGGACATCTTTACTCATTTCATCTATGCTCGTGTAACTCATATATCTTTTATTGAATAGCAAATTCATATATCAAATACAGACTCGATTTCTTATTCTCATATTGTACGAGTCTAAAACGAGTAAATTTAAGCGGATGATGTGTCATGTTGAAAGAGTTGTTTGAGATTATAAGGGTTAATTACTTGGGTGTCCCCACTCCACATGTGCTTGGCAAACTGTTCGTAAGCTCTTTGGTTGGGATGATAAGAGTCAAAGAACAAATATTGGTTGGGATTTTTGCAGAGTTCAAACTCTTTCTGTCCTCTCTTCCCTCCGCAGCTATATATTCCTCTGTACTCTCCGCTCCCACAGCATCCACTTTTCCCTTCCTTGAAACCTTCATCCACACCACCACCATATACATCCGCACAATACTTTTCAGTTTTCAATTAATTTATTTTAAATAATTATGCTTGCCAACTTTTAAATGTTTAAAAAATAGAAAGTGAATTCAAATATATAATGAACCCTTAATTTTTCAATAATAGTCTGGTTTCAATATTACTGTGGGTGTGGGAAAAGTAACTGACTTTTTATCCATAAATAAATGAGTTAACCAATTTAGAATACATTATATTTTACATGTTTTAATTTTTAAAAACATAAAATGAATTTATAATATAAAGTAATATATGTATCAAAGTTTTCATTATTTTTAATCTAGTTTTGCATCTTAAAAATTTCAAATTCTGAATTTGAAAACATTGAAATATAAAAAATTCGTTTTAAGAATTTCTACTGCAATCCAAAAACAATTTTAAACGAATCTGAATTTTCAACCAAACAGACCTTATATCCTACCGTTTGCTCCTACCAAGCTCTAAATGGTATGAATGTGTGCACTTTTTTTAATAGGCTCAAAAATTAAAAAAAAAATTACCTATGCAATGAAAAAAAATCAACAATTTAACATATTCCAGGAAGGTTTTATTTTTCCTTATATGATATATATTGTGCATTTTAAGAGTTATTATCACACATGTACATGTACCACTTTTCTACCTTAAGTGGATTTTTCTATCAATTATTTTTCCGATAATGCTTCTCACATTAATTTTTCTTCTATAGAATTTTCTTACTCCTCTTTGTTTTGAACTCTACATAATTTCATTTTAGTAAACTAATAAATTTATTCTAACCCAACAATCCAAAATTTTACGGTTCGACNCCATACTTCTCTTTGTCAAATTTGATTGTTGCTCTAAATTCCATATCTCTAATGTCATTTTCTCCATTAATTTTTTTAAAATTTCCTTTAACCTAAAAACTTAATCCTTCGGATAGAGATATAATTTTACAAATTAGAGAAATATATAAAATCAAAGAGCAAAAAAATTGGTTACCGTATTTGGAAGGATTGTCTATTCTGTTTTGAAGCAGAGTGTAGGTATCGGCGACTGTGTATTTGAATCCTTTGAGTTTGATCGCAAGCTTCTTTAGGGCACCGGGAAGCATCTTGTTGTGCAGTCTCGCCAATGCCGAAGCTTCTTCCCAACACCTTCCATGGCGGTCTCCTCTCGCCAGTCTCGAGTGCGGCAAACAACCTAAAGGAGGCACCGCCACGAACGCAAATTTCCTTCCTCCTTTCTTGTATATTTCCTATCACATCAAACAATCGCATCATCAAAATCAAATTGCCTTTCCAGAAATCCTGTCAAGTATTTCAAATTCTAACTCTCTGGCTTTACTTCGAGCACCGTCGTCACGTTTCCGATCACCATTTTCACGTACTCTGTTTCGGTGTACGTTTGAAGCACGGTGGAGCCTTTGTCGAATGCGACGATGTAATCGTTTCCTCCGATGCTGAACAAATAAACAGAGTTTGAGAGCAAGCTGCGGGCTCCGGCATCGCCGAGCTTCTTCCTTAATGATTTCTCCACTTTGTTGAAATACCTAAGCTGAGTTTCAATGTCTATGGCCTGAAAATTAAATCAGTACTCAAAGTTTGGTGCGAGCATTCAATTCAGCAGATAAAAAGAAGATTGCGAAAAGGAAAATCAAATCAATGCGGTTTGATTGAGTGATTCGTAAGCTGAGTTTCAATGTCTATGGCCTGAAAATTAAATTAGTTCTCAAGGTTTGGTGCGCACATTCAATTCAGCAGAGAAAAAGAAGATTTCAAAAAGGAAAATCAAATCAATGCGGTTCGATTGAGTGATTCGTACCAATCCTCGGTGAGTTTCGACTAAAGCGCCGCCTCCACCGGATGCAAAATTAACGCCATGGATGTAGAGATTGTTGTGAGGATCTAAATATGGCGGAATCAGAGGCAATTTTGCATACTCGGCTGCAAGAGCAGTTTAGTTTAAGATCAAAGATGACGAAATTAAAAAGTGTACGAGTTTTAGCGCAGTCTCTGTTTTGATTGTTACCTATGAAATCCGGCATGAGACGGCCATCGGAAAACCTTCCGGTGGGGAAGTGGAAGAAAGTTTCGCCGTAGGGCGTGAAATTCGCCCGGAAATCCTCGGTGGTGTCGATGTAGTTGTTGTTTCCAGGATCGAAAAAGGAATCGCCGAATACGAATAAGGCTACACGTCTTTCCGGCGGAGGAACGCCGTCGATTCGGGAGCCTTCTGCGATGACGACGACTGCGAAGAAGATCCAGAAAGAGAAGTGCAAGTTTGAAATCTCCATCTCTAGAAGAGAAACTGATGCAGAGCCGGAAGTCTTCTGCTCGTGTTCTTATGAAGTTATTAAAATGGAGTGGACTTATAATAGAGAAATTAATTCGTTCATTAAAATAACATTTAACTTTGTTCTATAAAAATGTATTTTATAAAATAGTAATCTGAACGCTGCTCAAATCTGTATAATCTTTTTGAAGTATAGATTTTTCTTCCATTTTATTTAATCACATGTCATTCTCACATTTGATTCTCATCGTTGACTTTATGAATGTCTGAGTCCATTTAAGTTCACCTCGATTAAGGGCCAACCGCCCAACTTCCATTATAATACAAGTCAAAAAATAAAAAAATCAAATACAACTATAATTGTAGGGAGGGTAATTCTACCATTTGGTTTCTAAGAGGCTATGAAATCCAAACTTTTATAATCTATATTTATTATAACTCATCTGATTAAAATAGGGAGAGGTAGTAACTTTTGTAAAGGGTTGCATGTAATTTTGGTCATTAAAATGAGCTGCAGAAGTTGGCTATTATTTAATTCCCACTTGATTTGTGGATAAAATAGAATGAAATGCGTATGTTAAACTTCAAGTTGGAAGGTGAGGGAAGGCATATAACTTATAAGAAGAACATATTCTAGATTATGTGTTCGTTTCTCATGGAGTATTATTATTATTATAATAACTTTAGACAAAAAAAAAAAAGGTAAAAAAGTTAGGAAAATTTAGACCAAATTCATGCACCAACCCGACCCCATTCAATTTGTCTCAGATAATTATTTTCATTTTCTTTATGTTTTTCCTTTGCCATCAACTTTGACCAACAAAAACGAAAGAAGAAGGAACAAGCTTTATTTTATTAATTAATTTATTTTTTATTGAATTATATATGGGTTCCATAAAATAATTTTCATTTTCTCTTTGGTCAATAAAAGAGACTAGGATCCAAATCTAAGCATAAAGTTACTAATTATAAGAAACCTATCTCGATACATGATTATGATTATGATTATCATCAACAATAACAAGTTGATCTTGTCATATAATATTAATGATACATTGTAACTTTAGTTCCTATGGTAAAAAGAACTACTAATAAAATATGGATATTTTTTAATAAATCAATGATAAATTATCTACCTAATGACATATCAATAAAGTAAATTTTTTTTAGAATTAGTTATGCAATTCAAATTTACCTCAAACTAAACTAAACTAAGTAAATATAATGTTCACAAATAACATAAAATGTTGTCAAATTCACATCGATGAAATGTATCAAAAAATTGTATATCGAATCAATAACTTTTAGGAGAGAGAAAAATATCTTAATCAGTAAGCTATGCTAAAGTTGATATTGTAATTCTTTCTCGAGTCATGATCGAGAAGCATTCCGATAACAGGTAACAGGAATCTCCACAATCAATCAGGATCAGCTAATTTGGGTTCGTTGTTTAATTTCCTGAGAAAAATCCAAATAATTGGGTCATGATTCATAAAGGAAGTTGCAAAACAAACAGCCCCAAAAGGGATGATGAAACAATACACAAAAACCATTTATTACTCATTAGTGAGTTTGGCACCTTCATAAGTAAAAAGCGATGCCACAGTTTGTGGACATTGTCTGGGAGTTGGAACCAAATGAACCCTGAAAACTAACACAAATTAACATATGTTTCAATTCAAATTTGTAACATTGTAAAAGCTAAATCGTATAAAAATGACTTCGGTTTCAATGATGCCTCTATCGTTCTCAAAATTCATAGCTAACTTCTTCATCATTACAATCAAAACAGAATTCTAACGTGGGAATTGGGCTATAGTTGAGATGGAAAAAAAAGCTTTTCATGATCCATGGTAAAGAAATTGGGGCTCTATTCTACCATCAATGGACAAGATTTAGGGTTAAAACTTGAAAAATGTTGTGGAATAATAGCAAACTCATCCTACGTATTATCAAAGAGAATGAATGGTTTCTGTGAAATTCCAAGAATTAAAAAGGACGAGCACGTACCAGAGCTTTTTTTATAGTTCCTGATCCATTGTCAAGTACTTCATTTCTGAAATTAAGCTCTCTGTAATTGACAATCACATCGCAATTCAGAGCAACCTACAGAGAAAGCCTCAACAATTCAATTCTTAACCGAATAGAAACATCATCTCCACTAACTTGTAACAACACTATCATCAAATCCTTCTTCATCTTCATCATTTTGCTAAAGATTCTTCAAAACGAAAACTGAAAGCTCTTCCATGGAGGCTACAGAGTTGGATGCAAATATAAACATACCTTCATCTTCAACACGGCCATATGAAGCACGAGCAGCTCCACTCCAACGTCGCCAACAACTTTGATCTCAGCCAACTCGCGCGTCGCGTCGAACAAATCGACATTGAATCGATGCAACAACAGACGAGTTCGAACACTCCGATCGTCGCTGCGAGCCGGCTGGAAAACTTCAGGGACTCGAATCGTTCCGATCACGGCGTTTCCATCGTAGATCACGAGGAGCCTCGACGGACTGTACTTAATGGCGATTCTGTTAGGGTTTTGAGAATTGAGAGTGAGAGTGAAAACAGAAGAAACAAACGAAGAGCCGGATTTGACGCTAATGTTGTACCAATCCAATCGCAACGACTGGAGAGAAAAAATCGGCTCTCGAGGCTTCAACAGGAGAATTACAGGCAATGCGGCGATCAGAACTGCGATAACTGAAAAGATAGCGATGAAGAGAAGAAAAATGCAGAATCGTTTCAGAGTATAAATCGTACAGATCTGTTGGCAGCAAAAGCAATTGGAAAATTGAGTTCGAGATGCAAGAACATCCATGGGAGGCCATTTTCGGGGACAGAAAGAACAGAGATTAAATAAATATTAGTAAACTCTGATGAAGGAAATTCGAATTTGATGTCTTTCTTTGGACTCTCGAACTCCATTATTCTTCGTATGGCTTGCAACTTGAATTAAAAGTAACGAATTTTCGTAATATTCTTGATAACGGAATTAAGAATCTGTTTTTTTCTGTAATAATCGACAAGTGAACTACAAGGAACTGTTCTTAATAATTACCTATAATGACGTAAATAGAAAATTGATATTTCAAAAGAGAGATCATTAAAGGAACTCAATCAATATTAAAGTTGATTTGAAAAAAAAAAAAAGGCGATAAAGGAATAATGATTTTGGTGTCTTGTCATAAATAGCCCTTTTTTTTGGTTCATTTGGAACCTCAAATGAATATAAGACAGTTTATCTCAAAGGGAATAGTTATCCCACCAAAAACTTGTTTCAGATCCAACTTTATGGATTTCCTTCGTTAATATTACATATTCAAATAAATTATTTTAAAAAAATGAAATAGTTATAAAATATTATAAAAAGAATAATGGATAAAATTAAGGGGTATTCAAGTCTTCTTCGTGTGTGTGAGAAACGAGATAGGGATAGAGAACGTGCTCCCCAACCCCATCCCCGTTTAAGTGACAAAGACAAAACAAAACGTTCCCGTGGGAAAAATGAACACTTATGGATAAAACATCCAATGGAGAGAGAATTTAATCTAAACTCTAAAGATCATCTACAAAATCTACCGTGATATTTCAATCTCCCTATTTGCATTCAGTAGTGGGAAAGCATTGCCAATAATATAGCCTGATGATGTGTGAAGTGGAGCACTGGAAATCTTTTAAAAGGGTGGAATCACATCACATGCAGATGCAACACTAACTTAAAATAGGAACTTTCTCTGCACTCTGCAAACATGTGAGTGGGGAGAGGCCCAAACAAAACACAGGGATGGGATGGCCAAGACATGGCAGACCCACTGATTTTCCACTGCCCTTTCCTCTGAATTCCCCATTCTCCACAAATCAAATCTAACCCTTAAAATGCCAGCCTTTTTCCCTATCAATTTCTGACACTATAACATCTCCACAGTCCCATCATCCTTCAGAGATTCATTTTTGAAAGAAAAAACATCTAAACTCTAGCAAAAAACTTCACAGATATGGCTGGCTTCCTGGGATCATAGAGGATGACGGGACCGGTCTCGGCTCGTCAAACCAAGACAATAATCGAACCTTTCGGTTGGTATCAACTAGGAAATATGAAAAGAAAGGAATAGAATGATCATCCATCAGCATAGAAACACAAAACGCAGAACTGAGATTCATCAAGTTTTCGATATCCATAGCAAACCAACCAACCACACATTTTTTTTTTCAGTACAAGCATATATATTAGTTTTGAGTTTCCCATATTATGGTCTCGACACATGAAATTGAGCCCCTACCGAGAAGTACGTTTGTGTCGTGTCCTCACATTCAACACAAACACCAATAGGCTATGTTTGTTAGGCCATTGCTTATGCAGGCAGATCTCTCTCACGTCCATTTCCATAACAGATGACAAATGTTCCTGCAATAAGTTTTTGTGAGATTTTCAACCTTTTACAAGTAAAAAAAAACTAAGGAGATCATCCTGAAGGGAGGAAGATACACTTTAAAAATGAAAAATCAGGAAAATTTCAGGGAGGAACTGATGAAGATGTCAAACTCACTAATATGTAGCTTTTATTTACATAACCTAGCAAGCTTCACAAGATTTGCTTAGAAGACACTGCCGACCATTCCATTAAGGTCATCAAAGCTCCAAAGGTCCACCGAGTTTCCGCCATCCTGAGTTGGCGTCTCTCCGACAAGAAATGCATCCATTGATGCGTCCCAGTTCCCATCAAGATATGGCATCTGAAAAAATTTCATCTCAGACTCAAAAGATGACAACTCATCAGATAGAGTCTTTTCAGAGCCTTGAGGAGTTTCCATATTCTCCAAGCTATACTTGACTTTCTTCTTCGGAGAAGCATCCTCCACAAACTGAGAATCGTCACTTTCCATGGCAGATGAAAGAAAAGACGAAATTTCGGGAGTTTTTACACCCTGCTCTCCCCATCCAAAGTCAGAGTAATCAAAGGAGTTGCTCCCTTGATCTGAGTTAAAATACATGGGTGCAACATCAGAGGAAGGTGGGCTGGTTTTTATTGCACCATCTCCATTGGCAGGGAATGAGTTCATGTTCACAAATTGATTTGTAAGCGGTTTTTCCTCCAGGAAACCCATGGTACTATAGTATTCATCATTAGAGTTATTTGCAAACTCATTGTTCTGGATTAGATCTGGTTGGATCCTAGCGAAGCTAGGCTTGGCAAGTGGTTCCTGAAGGTTTGTCTTTGCTGAAGGCTTTCCACTAGTTCGTGGAGTTTCATTGGGGAAATTAACCTTAGCTTTCTTCCCACGAATTCGCCGTGCTTCAGCATCGTATGCTCGGGCAGCTTCTTCAGCAGTATTGAAAGTGCCAAGCCACACACGGACTCCTTTCCGTGGATCACGAATTTCTGCTGCCCATTTACCCCATGGTCGCTGTCGGATTCCCCTATACTGATTCTTTCGCTTTCTCTTTGCAGATTTTTCAGCTTGTCCGGAGAATTCTACAGATTTTGAAGCTGCAGAGTATATGTCTTATTAAAGCAAGGAAGAGAAACAATACACAGATTGGGAGGAAATAAAAACATAGTCACAAAATTGAATCAATGCCTATCAGGAAAATAAAAAGGATTCAAGGGATCTAGAAACTACAAACGACAGATTATGTGTAGGATGTTTGGAAAAGTCAACTGCTGATTCGCTTTTATTCAAAATACTCATTAGATGAATAATTGGACGGACCACATAAAGAACTTTTTTTTCAAAAAAAAAAAAAGGAAGGAAAAAGAAGAAGAAAGCGAGAGACCAAAAATTAGGTTCGAAGCATTCCATGAATGGCCAACAATTAAGATGAATACCATTAAGCAACCTCTTGTCTGGAAACTATGTTAGCTGATCCAAAAACATTGACAACCCAAAAGGACTTTCATTTATACAGAAAACTAAAAGGATAAAAAAAAAATTTCAAAAAGCAGTAAACTTCATATAACGAATTCAATTTTATGGTAATTTCATCAGTTTTTTATATTAAAAATTAAAATCTAAAAATTTGAGGGGTAGAAGCTTCAAATAAAGATGTAAACCCACTTGTGGTTAAATCATTATGCAGCTATGGGCTGGATCTGCTACTCCGTCCAGTTTTCTCTTTTTTAATTTGGTAAAAGGTTATCGGTTTATTCCTCAAAATAATTTGTTTCTGCAGTCTACACTTGTATGATCAGAAAGTGAAATTTCCTCCTAAAAAGACCATATTTTCTCAACCATCTAGCAAAATCCAGAGGGCAAAAACGAATCTACCACAATCCAGCAGAATGTTGAAACAGAAAGAGAAGAAATAGAGGCCATGCATCAGAAACCACCGTTTACTCAACAGAAATTAGATATAAGATCAACTTCAGCGGAGCAGGGAGGCAAAAAATCGACATCAGAACAATGATCAAAGAAAGCTTAAAAATCAAACAAATTAGAAAAAGGAAGTTACCACGAACAGAAGACACGGCAAGGTTTCCAGCAGCAGAGAAGGCAAAGGGCTTGACATCAACAAGCTCATCCTCATCAAATTCCAAATCGGAATCGTCCTTGAAATGCTGGAAATCGATCTCGAAATCATCATCAACGTCAATGATGTCAGACTTCACCGGCTTGGACAAGTAATTTCCATTGCCAGAGCCAGGGTTCTTGAGATTGGCCCAAAGGTGATCGCCGGCGACTCGCCGGGAGCGAGCCGTCGGAATGAAGCCGGAGATTATAGCACCTCCACACATTGTTTGCAGTTAACTGAAAAGATTTTGACAGGAAAAAGGAGTGGGAAAGTTGGGGGTTTTTGGATTTCGGGAACGCTTTGTAAAAAGAAAATGGAAAACGGAGGAAAAAATGTGATGCGGAATGAATTAATTTGAAGGGCGAAGGGATTCTTTTTTAGGGTTTTAATAAAAAATATTAGGTGAGTTTTTCTTGTAAGAAAGTGGGACGAGTTGGTGCAATGCAAGTGGGACCCATCGAATATGAAATCCCCATTTTGCCCCTCAGTGTATACCGTCAACTACACAGTTGCTCGTGCCCCCTCCGGCTCCCACTGCCGACGTGACGACAGAATATAGTTTTTTCTTTTTTTTTTTTTAAGAGGGAAATTATTGAACCAGACAGCGTTGCCTTGTAGGCCTTGTACCTTATCTTAGAGGACAGATACAATTTGATACAATTAAAAATACTTTTTCTTTTGTTTTTCTATTTTAATATTAGGTGCCTTCTCAAAAAAATATTTCAACTATTAAGAAAAAAAATATTTGATAATAAATTATTTTCCTATTTAGTTTTCTATTCTTAAAAGTAGCCAACTTTCTTTCTAAAAAAATAATAAATAAATAGCCAACTTAAACATAATTCCATCCGTTAAAGTTTATATTAAATATAGTGAATTTGAATCTTCATCTTAATTTTTTTAGTAAATATAACATGGAAARATCGTGAGTCAAACTCACAACCTCTTAGTTTGATATATATTCTTATTACAGTTGAATTATACTTGTTTTCTCGTTGTTAAAAATATTTTTATAATGTTTTATTATCGACCAAAAAAATGTTGGGTTTAAATTTTTCTACCAATAATTTTATGTTCATTTTGATGATCATTGATCATGATCTAGAGGGAGAAATATTATTGGCACGCTCTTTCTATTTTTGGCCTATAAACTTTGAGGCTTTTTGATTTAGTTTTTAAATTTTACATTAAAGTTATTTAAGCTTTTACTAACTATGAGCTAATAATTTATTTTATTAATACATATCATCTATCAAGACAACTCTATGTGGTCATATGTAAAACGTACATTAGGGTAAAAAAAATTAAAATTTTTTAACTTTAATTATACATTCTTATTCCAATTACTCGAACTGAAAATTTTAAAAATAAGAAATCAGCTAAAGTAAATTGTTGACCCATGAGAAAAATTAAAATCACTCGAATTGGTCGAAGATGAAATTCTAATCCTACCGCATAATGTCCAAACTTCAAGATAAATTTAATGTTTAAATTTTATTTTAATTTATGAACTTTTAATTTATCATATTTTGGTATGTAAAATTTAACTGTCTATATCAAGTTCTTAAGCTTTAAATTTTTAATTGTTCTGGTCGTGGAAGTTTCATAATGTCTATCGTAGTTTACGAACTTAAAAAAAAATAAAAATCATTTCGGTCAATTTTATATTATTTTATCATCTAAATTTCTCTACCTTTCAACTTATATGGTTTAAATACATAATCACATTAACACGTTAGTACATTGTATAATTAGTAAAAATCAAATCAAGGGGAGAATCAAACTCGTTGCTTTTTAAAAATAGAAGGCCAAAACATACACTTTGAAAGTTGAGGAACTAGAATGAAATAATCTTAAAAATTTTGATCTTTATATCGTTTGAATACATAATCATATTAACACGTTAATAAATCGTATAATTAGTGAAGATCAAAATAGGGGAGAATCAAATTGGTTGCTTTTTTAAAATATAAGGACCAAAACATACCCTTTGAAAATTCAGGGATTAGAATGAAATAATCCTAAAAATTAAGGGTGTGTTTGGTTGATAATTAAAAGACAGAGATCTGAAAACAATGCATTCGATAAAAACCAGAGTTATTTGTTTATAGATATATGTAAGCATATTTGAATTGAACCTAAATTTAAAAGATTGTTCAATGTCTATTGAGTAATATATTGGTAAACCAGTACTTACAAACTAAATATTTAGTCTAATTTAAAGTTATATTAATTAATTTATTAACATTTTTTTATGAATTTTGTATAATTATTATTTTACAATGTTATATAATTTAGAATATTATCGTATTTTACATGTTTTAATTTTAACAAACATAAAATAAATTTATAATATGAAGTATATTTATCAAAGTTTTTATCTTTTTAACATAATTATGCATTTTAAAAATTTCAAATTCTGAATATGAAAACAACAGAAACATGAAAATGTTGCTTTTAGAATTTATATTATTTGATCACACAACCCGAAAACAGATCTAAAAAATCAACATTACAAATCATGACAAAGACGAATCTGGAAACGAAAAGCAGAATCCGAGTTTCCAACCAAATAGACCCTAAATTATCAGACTACGAGGCTAGCATGAAAAATACAATAATAAAAGTCATGAGGGTAAAATGGTAATTTAAGATTACATATTCTCTCTCTTTGAAGCATTTAGAACGTGACACTCCTCATGGGTTGTGGCAATCAAAGGGGTAGGGTTGTATGCCTAATTTTATGCCCTTTTGGTCATGTTTGTAATTAGAAAAAAGAGTAGTTTACCAGACTTGACTGCCACCAAAACAAATCAGTGTTTGAAAATTAAAAATCCTCCCTCCCTTCGACACCAATCCCCTCTTCTCTCTGTTCCCCAAACAACTTTGTTCTACATTATCAAATTAAATTAAACTACCCCAAATGTTGAAACTTTTTTACACCTTTTTCTCCCCTTTTTTCCAACTCTTGATGCTGGTCAAGAAATATATTATTTGTTGATTTAAATTCCATTTTTGATTCCTGAATTATTTAAAATTTATTTGTTTTAGTCTACTAACTTTTAAGATGTATTTGTCTAAGCCATAATAGTTCAACGCTCTAACCAAAGAGGTTGTGAGTTCGATCCCCAATCCCTACAGGTAATTACTAAAAAAAGAAACTTTTAAAATGTATCTCCTAAGTCTATATATTTTTAGATTTGTTATATTTTTACCCCTAAACTTTTAGGATGTCTACTTTAGTCACGAAACTTTAAAGAAGTAATCAATTTGATTTTTACTTCATTTTTTATTTTAAAAATTAACAACAAGGCTTCAACTATGTGTATTTATATGTTAGGGTGGACGTGTATTTGAACCATAGGAGGAAAATGATTATAAGGTAAGTGAATTTTATGTTTTAAAATAATATAATAAGGACTAAAATGGTCCGCTGTTGAAAATTCGTGGATTAAATATATTAGGAAAAGTTCAAAGCCAAAATTGTTATTTTAAAAAATTGAAGATTAAAATAAATATATTATATAAAGGACCAGAATAGGATTTAATGTCTGATATTTATCGTAAAAATACGAGAGAAAAAATTGAGGTGATATTTGGAATCGTTTGGTATAAATCCATTTTTTAATTGGAAAGAGTTTGTCGGTAGAAAAATTATTTACTGTATGTTTCTAGTATTTCTGATCAAGTTTTAGGTATTCTTTGAATTAAATGGCTATTTCATAACAGCTAAGGTACAGTACCCAAATAAAGCCAATAGGAAAAAAAATGATGGTCAAAAAGTTGATTATTGCTACCAAATAAGTTACAAAATTTTATGCATTCTGATGAGTCAAATAAAATATCTCTAGAGAGAAAAAAAAAAAGTCCATCTCAAGAAAAATCTTTTATGTATATAATATTTTCAAAACCCTTTGCAAATATATTTTTTAATAACTCTAAATAAAAAAAAATCCCAAAATTTTGAAGGGAGTATTTCGATGACTTTATTTTAAATATGAAGAGAGAAAAAAAAAAGAAAGAAAAAGAGTAAAGTCGCATATTTTCCAAAAATAAAAAATAAAAGAAGCGTTTATTTTCTATACAATGTGGGCATTTCCCCACATGCATACATAAAATATATTTGTATATAGCTTCAATTTTCTATACACATACATAAAATATATCTCCATATATATCAATCTTAACGGAAAACTAATAATTACCAATGGTAAAAACAGAAGAAGACAGGAGACGAGGAATGCGCTGAACATCGTCGAAAACGTGCAAAGACGTCGACGGAAAATTTATTAGACGACGGAAATTGAAGGTTTGGACGTGTCTGGGGAAGAAGAAATCAATACCTCGTTGATTTGGTGTACAATAAACGGCGTTGGAAACTTTATTCAGCGACGGAAATGAACGGCGTTGAAAACGTGCAAAAGAAATAAATATCTTGTTCATAAAAGCCCCGAAGATGGAAAATGAAGGTCTGGCCGTTGACGTCTTTGCACGTTGGAAACGAAGACAGCGGTGAACAAAAAACAATGGCGGGAGAAAATCGCCAGCAAACGAGGATATCGAATCGGCAACAAAAATATTCATTTAACAAAATTGAAGGTTGTTAATTGGTGAGAGGAAAAAATCATAATGCAAATATTTAAAAGTGTAAATTTCGAAAACTAAAGACACTTATGTAATTAAGATTAAGATTTCAAAATAGGCTCCCCAATATATTATCTCTATTTTAATTTACTTGTAGTTTGTGTGTTATTTAATTTAATCACTCAAAAAAATATATAATAGAAATTTTTTGTAAAGTTTGATTTATTCTGTTGAATTGGCATGGGACAGAAATGACACGAGAAAGAGAAACGACGCGTTGTTGACTTGTGATAAATGAAATTTTCTAACTTTTTTGTCTGTTAATAATTTAATTCCCAATAGCCATAATACGGCAAAAAGCCAAAGCCAATTTTCCTGTCAACATTGAACTTATTATTATTATTGTTATTACTATTTAAAATTAAGTCATACTTTACAAGTAATTTAAACTCATAAACAAACAGTAAACATCGATGAACATGTGTGAGAACGACGAAATGCTATTTTTATTTTAAGTTTTTTAAGAACTTTTATTTTTAAAGTCGTATGGCAAATAAATTTTATACTAAAAAAACTAGTAGCTTTGTAAAGCCTAGTTAAATTAGTGTGTCTCGTTTCAAAAAAAAAAAAAAATAGTGTGTTTGGTTGTTGTTAATCTGAAAAAAGAATAAATTCAAAATAAAATTGAGTTATATTCGATATTTTTAGTATTTTTTAATATATTTTTCTTGTAGCCATTTATAAATTAAATACCACAATTACCACCAAATATTTAGTTCAATCTAAAATAATA